CACAGAGCCTGTGGGACTGTCCACCAGAGCTTCCTGTTGGTTTCTCACATAACAGCAACTTCTCTGCCACAAACTAAGTGCCTGTGGGTGTGATGTGCCTGGGCCCTGGAGGAGACCTCAATCCTCCAGTTCCTGAGAGGTCCAGAGAGTACGGGACCAGGCTCAGCAAATGCAAGCACAAGGTGATGCAGTAATGATACTTCCGATACACAATGAGTCCTTTTGCATACTTGGGGGTAGGGCTGGGGGAACAACAACTGAGCCTGACTGCACCCCATCTCCCAAAAGGTCAACCCCTCATCTCATGCTTTCACAGCTCCTTCAGCAGTCCTGTTTTCCTCTCTGAACCTTGCAGGAGTGGGGTACCCATGACATGAGGGATGGGGGCTATTTACTGCCTCTCAGAGGGTGAGGGCACAAGGGGCATGGGATGAGGGGGAGACCACAACTAATGGGTAGGAAGGCGGCATTTATTTGGGACTGTGACCCAAGCCCAGCTTTCCCAGGTGTGTATGCCTCTGGCATTGATGCTGGAGTTGGGGTCCAGGCTCCCAGGTATGGCTCCGAGTCATCCTGGGGGTAGGGGGCTGGACTAATGATTGTAAAGACTTTTTCATGGCTGAGTCAAGCTGGTTATGGCAGCTGATTGGGATTTAAGTGGTGAAAGGGAGTGGAAAGGGGGGGGGTGGTCAGAGTGAACACTGAGCCACAAGTATGGAATAACCCATCACAACTCACTTGTCCTGTGGCTGCAGACACCTCCAGTCCTATTCCCTCTTGTCATTGCTATCTCCGAGGACGTCCAGAGAGCCCCCTTAGCACCACCCAGGAGAGGCCAACTGCGGACTCTGACCTGCATATTTGATTTTTCAGGGCCAGGAGGAGGGAACTTGCTTTCTAGAATGCTCTAGGAGCAACACCATCGCCAGGTGAGCTCCACTGCAACGCAACCCACCTCAGACCTCCTGTGGTATGCCGATTGCGAGGCCAGGCAGGGGTCTTCTCTGTTCAGGACCTCAACACGGGGTCTGACTCGGCCAGAACGAAAAGCCTGGTGAGCCATGAAGTATTGTTAATGCTGCATCCCGTTGGGGCAGGCTTTGCTTCTTCCACACCTCCCGCTCCATATATCTGAGCAATTCTTACACCTTCCGACAAGCTCTCAGAAAGACTTGGGAATCCCAATTTGCAGATGCAGAAAACTGAGGTTGACATCAGCTGTATAAATGGGCTCTGGGAAAGGGAGCGAGGCTGCCTGGCAGTGATCTTTGCTTTTCCACTGCCCTGTTCCTCACTGCCCTGGCCCGTCCTCAGACTCTGGTCTCCTGACGGCCAGCTGTGGCAGGACAGTGGGTTGCCTTGGACCCTTGGGATTTGGGCACCAGCAGTCCTCATCTGGAGGGACCCCAGCCCTGTGCCCGGGCTCCTGGCCTTTACACTGCCCTCCCTCCGTCGTCAATAGCGTCCAGGCTCCCAGGCATGGCTGGGCCACTTCTGAGACACTGAACCCAGCAGGCAAACACCAGCAACCTACAACTCTGGACCCTGCTTTCCCTCTGCCCACACCCAAGACTGTTCCATTAGCCCTCAGCCTTTGGCTGATTCTGTTTCTGACTTCTGGAACCTCACAGGAGCTGGAGTGTCTCTGGAGCCCACTGACTCCCTCTCCACTCTCTCCACATAGCATAGAGTGGGTGGGTCCTGCTGGAGAGCCACAGAGGCGGTGGCAGAGCAGCCTCACCTGGTGCTCAGAGAGAGGCTGGTGCCGGGACTCACGAAACCTCTGTAGCACAGAGCCTTTCTCCTTTAGCCCCTCTGCTTGCTCCTGAGCACACAGTGTCCACAGCCCTCCTGCTCTCCAGGCCATGTCCACCTCTGTGGAAGGGCTCCACAGGGAGCGGAGCCATAGTACAGCAAGTAGGGCATCTCCCTTGCACGTGACTGACCCGGGTTCAATCCCCGGCATCCCATCTGGTCCTTCAAGCACCACCAGGAGTAATTCCTGAGTGCACAGCCAGGAGTAACCCCTGAGCATCACTGAGTGTGAACCCCCCCCCAAAAAAAAAACAAAGAATGGCTTCACCACTCAGGCCAGCCTGCACCCTGGCACCCCAGTGGCTCTGTTCATTTCCAGACCCAGCAGTAGGACCACCCAGCGGCCATAGCTCGTTTATTCAGCTCCATATGCAGTACTGAACACCTGGGAACTGGGCACCGGGAATCCAGTGCTGGGGAGCAGGCTCTGTCCCCCTCGTTCCATCTCTACCTGCCCCAACACCAGTCTCCAATCCCCACCACCTCCAAGCCCCAGCCTTTCCTTCCGGCTGCCACCTTGCTCTGCCTTTGCCCGTTTGCTCTTTCTCTCTCCAGCCCAAATGCCCTGTGCTTTTGCCCACACTGCCTCCTCTTCCCGTTAGACTCCTGTCTCCAGCCTCCCTCTATTCCTGCTCGAGGGGCGCCTCTAGCAATGCTGAGAGATGAGCAGTGTGTTCTCCCTGAGTTTACCTGCCAAAGTCCTTAAACTTCACTCCACATGCCTTCCCATGTGATGCTATAGAGAGGTGACATCTTTAAAAGATAATAGTACTGTAGCTCTGTAGTACTGTCCTCCCATTGTTCGTCGATTTGCTCAAGCGGACCCCAGTAACATCTCCATTGTGAGACTTGTTGTTACTGATTTTGGCATATTGAATACGCCATGGGGAGCTTGCCAGGCTCTGCCGTGTGGGTGGGATACTCTCAGTAGCTTGCCGGGCTCTCCGAGAGGGGTGACGGAATCAAACCCAGGTTGGCCACATGCAAGGCAAACACCCTACCCATTGTTCTATCGCTCCAGCCCAGAGATATTAAAGATACATAATGAGCTCATGCTGGTGGGCCCTAATCCAGTAGGCCTGGAGTCTTTCGAGGGAGAGATTTGGATATAGGCAGGTGCAAAAGGAAACCTAGGTAAAGGCATGGGGAGAAGACAGCATCTACAAGCCTTGGAGAGAAGCCTCAGGACTGCAACCAGCCTGCTGACTGTCTCCCTGTGACATTAGCTCCAGAATTGTGAGTGAAATTTCTGTCCTATCAGTCACTCTGAGGCTTTGTCATTCCCAGTCCAGGTAAACAGCACAGCCAGAATGTCCACTCAGCCTTCCCTAGGGCCACCAATGCATCTTGTGAGCCCTCCCACTTCCGGTCACCTTGACTGCACAGAAATTTCACCTGCAGTAGTGAGACCCAACCCCAGCCCCCATCCTGGCCCCCATGTTCTGGAGGAAGCAAGAGATGGTGCTCGGGCCAGGCTGGGCGGATGGATGATCCCAGGCTGCCTGGGGGCCAGCAGACCTTTCAGCCCTGGAGAAAGGCTCTGAATCATGCTTTGAAACATGACAGCAGCCCAGCCTGGATATTTATGACCCTGTTTCTTGGCCTTCCTGGGGAGTGGTGCTCTCTCGTCTCAATTTATGGGCCTCCGGAGCAGGCCCAGACTGGCTAGGGGATTGCAAATGGGCATCTGCTAATGGTGCCTGCAGACGGAGCGGGGGGCGGTGTGATCCCTGGCCCTGGGGTCACATGTGTGCCCTCCCTTCCCAGGAGCCTATTCTGCACCTGAAAGGCCTCCCTAGTCTTCCCCTGTGTAGAGACCACAATATACACACCCAGATCACTATCTCCAATTGTTCTTTACTCACTGATTTTTTTTCCCACTCAGTTTTTGGCATACTTCCTACATTTTATTAATACTTTTCCTTCCTCCATGCATCCTCTCTTCTCCTCCCTCCCTCCCTCCCTCCTTCCCTCCTTCCCTCCCTCCCTCCCTCCCTCCCTCCCTCCCTCCCTCCCTCCCTCCCTTCCCTCCCTCCCTCCCTCCCTCCCTCCCTCCTTCCCTCCTTCCCTCCTTCCTTCCTTCCTTTCCTCCCTCCCTCCCTCCCTCCCTCCTTCCTTCCTTCCTTCCTTCCTTCCTTCCTTCCTTCCTTCCTTTTCCATACCTGGTAACTCTTGGGGGTTACTCCTTGCTCTGTGTACAGAAGGGGCCCTGTGAGGTGCTTGGGGGACCATATGTTGTACCTGGGGCTCAACCAAGGTTGGTGGAATGCAAGGCGAGCTTCTCACCCCCTGTTGTCACTCTTTGGCCTCTTAAAATTTATCTTTAAATTGACTCACTGGAGCGTAGGTGACAGAAGCATAGGACAACTGAGTCCCTTTTCTCACAGTCCAGCTCAATTGGTTAGAGACACCCAGGGCTCTGTAGGGCATGGGATTATAGGGGAAGGATTAGAATTTCTTAAAAGGGATATGTTAGAAAGGGGAATTAATGCCAAAGAACTTAGTGAGTATTCCATGTACCCCAAATTCCTATGAGCCTTCCTAGGCTTGATATCACTGAAGAGGAAGGTTCAAGTCCATTCAAGGAGTTTTGAAAGCTTGGGAGGTATGGTATGGAGATACCTGAGTGTGAACGAGGCTTCAGTGCCCACTGACTGAGAGTGACCCAGCCCTGGAAGATTCTGGAAATTTTCAGATGGGCTAACTGCCCACTCGGCATGTGGTATCAGAGGGAGCAGCAGAGTCACACAATCGTCCGGCTCTCCCAGGATGGCCACATTCAGAATCCCATGTAGATTAGGCTCCTCCCTCTTCTGTAAGGATAGATACAGGTAGAGCGGGGTAGATATGCAGCCTGCTGGGGGACTCAGAGAAGGGTAGGCAATCCTTGAAGTGGGGGGCCCCCAGGCCGACTCCCCTTTGTCTGCAGTGACAACCTCTTGTCTGGGTTCTGTGGCTCATCCAGGAAAGCTGAGTCTCCTGGGTATGGCCTCTGCACCTCACAGAAGGAGCAGGAAGTATACTTGAGAGGGGACAGTTCTTTACAGGTGGCCCTGCCTCTTCCAGTGTCGAGACGTAGGTGACTAGTACCCAAGGGCGGTAAGCTTCCAGAGGCCCCTTGCAATTGGAAAATTGTGGCTTTAATAAAATAAAGATAATACAATATATCCCATTAGTTTCTAAGAAGTGACCCTCATCCCCCCATCCTCAGTGGCGTGAGCCCTTTGAAGAGTGAGGGGTGTGTCATCTCCTCTTCAGTGAGGCAGCCGTGGGTCACCAGTATACTGCTCACAAGACCCAACGTCCATGCCTATCATCGGTGTTGAACAGCATCCTTGTGCAACCGAGGGGCAGGGGACAGCACTCCTTGGTGCCTGAGGAGCTGATGGCCAGCAGTCTCGGCTCCAGGGCCTTGAGGAGCAGAGGTTTCCTTCGTGTCCTTCTAGCCTTCTGCAGACCAGCAGAATATTCTCCCCTTCTCATCGCCAACAAGGAGTTTGGTCTGGTTTCTGGGAAGAGAAAGATCACAGCATCAGAGGTAAGCCTGTGAGTGTGTTGCATGCAGGAAACTGCAGCCTGGAGGTTCCATCAAGGACCCATTGAATCTTGTGTCTGAGAGAAAGAAGAAAATGGGAAGCCAGAGGGATATTTGGGCTGGATGGGGAAAGGGGATCTCTCCAATTAGAATGGCTGGGGCCCTTTAAGTGCTAAGAAGGGATACTTCAAGATGCTCAGGTTCCAGGGAATAGAGAGAGCCCTGGAATGTTTTCTCTCTGGCATCTCCAGCTGTATGCAGATGTGCTTACTAGCACCAGTGCCGGGTAATTGTGATAACTAAAAGAATGTCCGTCCAGTGATTTACCTGCCTCTTGGGTATTTACTTTCTGCTTTCCCCTTGGTCCAATAAAGGGAAAGTAGTATGGACAGTAAAGCAAACTTTGCTTTATCAAAGGCACCCAGAATTCTAAACTAACAGTGGCATTTTATAGGAGACTGGAGAGATAGTACGGGGGTGATGTGTTTGCCTTGCATTCAGCTGACCTGGTTGATCGTAGGTACCACATATGGTAGCCCCCAGCCCTGCCAGGAAGGATCCCTGAGCACAGAGCCAGGAGTCAGTCCTGAGCACATCTGTGTGTGTCTGCAAAACCAAATCAAACCAATCCACCAATGTCACCATCAGTAGCAGTTCCCAGAAACAAAATCCCTTTTTCTAGATAATGACACCATATATTTCCATGGGGGGGGAGGGGGGGGATATATATGTTTATGAATGTTCAAGACAGAGTGTGAGCATGTATTAAAGAAATATTTCCTAGGGCCCTCCATGACTGTTTCGCCTGAATCATCAGCCCCGAGAAGGAGGGTCCCAGAGAACCAGGCCACTTTCCTGGGCCAGGCAGGCAGCCTGAGCAGCAGGGCCTCTCCTAGCGGTGGCAGCAGCACCCTCTGCTGGAAGCCTGGAGAAGACAGGCCACAGTTACCTGGACACGGCCAGAGCTGTCACTGCAGGCCTGGTCTTGCTGGGTTTCCCTGTCAAAGCAACACTGACATCCAACTCTCGGCACAGGGCAAGATTCTTCTCCCACCTGTGACCTGTGAGAGAGAAGAGTTAGAAAGACCAAGTGGCTTCACACACATGTCCACACACAGAGCCACAAACACATACACATATTTATATTTGTGGTCAGCAACTTGTTAAATTGCGGGGGGAAATCTATTTAATCTTGGCCTGTGCTGTTGCAAAAAGGGCCGTCCCAATTTAATTTGCAGGCTGTGATAGTTACATGTGCTGACGTGCTGCGGTATCCATTGTGTACCAAATTGGATTTGTGTATTATTGCTTTCTAAATTGCATGCCTAGTTCAGCAAAATTGTTCATCAGTGTTTACTGGCTTTATGCTTAATAAGATGCCCCACAATACCTTGCTGCCAGGATGTAATGCAGCCCGTAATTGCCTAGTAAAAATAAATTACATAAAGTCGGCATTATCAACTTATCTAAATCCTCTCACGCCACAACCAATAATTAAATGCTGAGAACATTTTTTTTCCCCAAAAAATATAACCCAATGACTGTTACTTCACTCATTTTAATGACTACATTTGGGGACGGACAGTAATTCCTTCAATTCGGAGGGTGAGATGGAAAGAAGTCAGTTGGCAGGGCCCTGACAACACACGCAGTTAAAGTTCAGACAGGAAGGGGCAACTGTCCTTTTTGCGGTGGTGGGCACAGCCACGCTGTGTACACCAGGAAATAAACTTGCAGGTTGTGTTTGTACAATAGCTGAAAGAACACGCTTCTCTGGAGCACTTTATGTACTAAATTGAGTCCAAATGTGTGGAATGATTCTTAAAATTGTACTCAACTGGATTGGTCCTTGCTGCCAATGGCAAATAAATGAATTTCAGGAAGAAAATAAATTTCATCTGTACACAAATGAAGGCTCCTTAATATCTTCAAAGATATCCTTTCTTGCCCCTTAAGACACAAGGCTACCACAATATGCACCCCAGGAGAAGTCCTTGCAGATACCTGTGTCTCCTGCTCGTGATTAGTCCCTTTTGAGCAAAACAGTTTTGAACAATATTATGAGAACAACAAGACCTCTAGTGGCTTTGGTTCGTGAATCTGCATATGGATTTACTCTGGCTATGGCCCAGGTTAATTTTTATGTCTGTGTTCTTGTGTGATTTTGCCCCCGTCCTCCTTTGAATCATAACTATATCCCTGGCAGCTACTGCCTGGAGCACTAGTGACCTCAGTCAGGACAAGTAGCCGGGCAAGGATGTGGAAGCCTATGTTGAAATCCCTCAATGCCATCAGCAAGGTTGTTAGAAGACAAATCTCTGAGAAGTGTGAGAAAAATGATAACCATGGCCTCATTTAGTTGAGTGATTCTTATCCGTGACTATGCCATGGGGTATCATAGCTACCTGACAGCCAAAGTGGAAGAACAAGAGAATAGGGCTGAAAAGGCAGTACAGTGGGTAGGATGCTTGACCTGCACAAGTCGACCTGGGTTTGATCATAGGTCCCTGGCACAACACCAAGAGTGATGCCTGAGCGCAGAGTCAGAAGCAAACCATGAGAACACTTGACTGTGTCCCAAAAAGATAAAAATAAGAGAATGGGTGAAATATATACAATGGTAAGTGCTCCCGGCCAGCTTTTCCCCCTGCAGCTCTGTGGTTGAGCCAGTGACCAAGAAAGCAGGAAATAGAACACATTTCTCTTAAGTCCCATCTGCCCCAACCATATGAGAGCTTTGTGCCAGGATAAGTGGTTCTGTGATTTTGGTGCCTGCTAAGATTCTTGTTTGACATGGGAATTCTAACCTTGATCTTTTCTAGAGTATGGACTGAGAACAGAGCTTAGATTTAGAATTTCTTTGAGTGGGGCCCACACTTGCTTTGAGTGGTGCTCAAGGCCTTCTCCAGGTTGTGACTGGGGGACCATATTATGCTGGGGATCAAAACTGGGACCCCCTTATGAAAATAATGTTCCCCAGACTATCGGAGCCACATCCTGGCACCCAGAATTACATTTTTAATAAGCAAGGCTGATTTGATGATTGGCTCTCAAACCTACTTGTAAACTTGCCATGTGTAGTTGTTGGGTAAGCTGGGAACAACAGGGTAGCTGGGAAAACTAGGGAACCTCTGTCTCACCCTATTCCTGTCTGTGTCCTAGCTATCCAGTTAAGTGGCCAGATGGACCCAGCTGTGCTGGTGAGTTTAGTATTCACGAGTCAGGCACCCAGGAAGATGGAGAGCCATCAAACCAAGCTTCTGACAACTAACCAACATCAACACTGGGAGCAGCCAGTGGTCATTGGTCCCAGGACCAAGAGGCCAAATGATCAAAGGGCTTCTACATATGGTTTCACACTTTGTCAGTAGTTTATGGTAAACCTGGCAGTATCTCAGGAGACTCTATGGCTTTTCTGAGCTATGCAGGTTTAGAGGGTTTTGTGTCCCTTGGTCCAATGAGAGTGTAGAAAGGAGTGAGCAACAGAGGGGAGCCCCAGTGAATTCCTAGGAGGATAGGTACCTCTTGGGCTAGGAGGTTGATCTGAGGGTTCCTCTAGTGCTGCTGGCCCAGGAACAGATGTCTTCACGTCCTCTGTCTTCCAGATCTGTCAGAGAAAGGAAGTTTTTGTGGGCTGAGGACATGATGCTGTCTGCATTCCTGGGCCTATTCAGTCCCCTAATCCCAGGGTGATTTCGAGGAACTTGAATTTTGTGTTAGCTTGTTCTTGGAAAATGCTTCCTGCTCAGAGGTTTGATGGATCACAACTGCTGTTTGGACAATTCCCTGTCCATCTCTGTGCTTCTCTCCTCAAACCCCTGCCTTGCCAGTCAGTCTATTATCATTTTGATTAGGTAACACATACTTGCTCTCTCCCACATCCTCAGACAGCAGGTGGGCTTCCAAATCCTGCAGAGAATGTCCTTAGGCTGACAGTTTCTCACATGTAGTTTGGATGATTTTCTGTCATTGAAGGGTAAGAACCAGACTCCATGTAATTCTGCTGGAGCTCCACACCCAGCTTAACAAAGTCCTGAGCTCAGTTACCAGTTGAATATATGGTGTAGAGAACAAGGAAGACCCCCCCTGACTCATGAGGACTCATGAAAGAAATGTTTCTCTTACCCAACCAGCCCTGGTCCCTCATCCTCAGCCTGAATTTGGACAGCTTCCATTAAGCTAGGCCTTGGTGACCTCCTAACACTCTGGCTCTTCTGAGATACCTTACTCTGGGAGACCCTCTGCTGCACAGCCCATAGATGGGACCCTGTAGGGGGCTTTCTGGAAATTTCTCTTCAGTCTTGTTTCTCCTATCTAACATGATCTATCCTCTTAGCCTGCATGTCATCTCTATATGATCTGACTTTTCCTCATCTTCAAGACTCAACTGAAATGCTATTTCCTTTGGCGCGACTATTTGAAAAGAAGCTCATTGTCCCCCCCGCCCCCACATTGGATGCACACCACCTTATTCATTCATCACCCTGAAATATCATCTCCATAGTTATTCTGAGATGTTGACTACAAAGGTCTTGATGGGCAAGGATAAACCTCAACCAAATTGGTACACAGCAAGTCTTCATAAGTGTTTGCAGGACCAAATGGTCATTTTCTAGAATACCTGTGGAAACCACCTCATCTTTCTTTTATGAACTATGTAATTCAACTGGCAGTTTCTTGAGTCACCTCTGAACCATTCCTTATCTTTACACATTGTTTCTTTCTCAGAAAAATCATTTGTACTTTTTTGTTACCATCCTATTCCTCCGTCAAAATTTCTTTTTTTTTCTTGGTTTCTCAATGTAACCCCCCTCCATTGTACCCCTCAATAATCTAAGAAAATATTTAATTATCCCAAGCATAGTATGCAACACATACTGTATTATCTCTTTATCTTCTCTCCTAGATGACTACATCATGAAGACAGGGATTGTTAAGTTTCTGTAGTTCATGACTTATGCAAAGGGCTTGGTGCAGAATTAGAATTCAATAAATGTTAGGTAGGTAGATGTCTGGACAATTGGATGGATTGACAGATTCACAGATATATTGATGGGTAAGTAAAGGGAATGATGGATGGAAGGTTGGGAGGTTGGATGAATGAACAGACACAGGAGGAGGGATGGATGGATGGACAGATGGATGAGTGCATAGTGAGAAATGACTTGATGGGTGAATGAAGTAGTAGAAGGTTAGATGGATAAGTAAAACCTTTCCCATTTGTGGCAACGAGTATTTATTTCATTATATATGTGTGCACATAAAATAACATATCTAGTTATATGCACTTCTTCTGGAAAGTTTTTGTCTTTCTCACTTCACTTGCTGTGGGTCCCTAGTTTGGAATGTTCTCAAAGGCAACCTACATATTTGAATCCTTGTAGGAAGTGAGAAGGATATATATATATATATATATATATATATATATATATATATATATTTGTTCAAGCGGGCCCAGTAATGTCTCCATTTTGAGACTTGTTGTTACTGTGTTTGGCATATTGAACATGTCACGGGTAGCCTTCCAGGCTTTGCTGTGAGGGCGAGATACTCTCGGTAGCTTGCTGGGCTCTCCGAGAGGGGCAGAGGAATCGAACCCAGCTCAGCCGGGCTGTCTGTGAGCAAGGCAAATGCCCTACCACTGTGCTATTCACTCTCTCTCTCTCTCTCTCTCTCTCTCTCTCTTTCTCTCTCTCTCTCTCTATATATATATATATATATGTGTGTGTGTGTGTGTGTGTGTGTGTGTGTGTGTGTGTGTGTGTGTTTCTTGTACCATGCCCTTGTTCCACCCAAATAAACCTACCCGGACCATGCCATCTTGACTCCCAGTGATGATAACATGACTTGTGTCCCATGCTGGCCCCTCCATCACACAGCAGCAGGTTATGGATCCTTCTGGGCCCCACGCTGTGGTGATGCTGGCAAGTGGGAGTCCATTGACATTCCACAGGGACAGGTGGGCTCCTGCACAGGAGACAATGGTGCCCTGCAATAGTTGGAGAAAAAAGGTTTTATTCTAGGCTGGGATAACAACCTGCCCATCTGCCACTTGCTCAATCTCCTCAATCTTTCATCATCTGAAGACTAACCAAGGTACTCCAAGACCCCTTTGCATGCCCAGTTCTTCCAAACTCTTTGGTCTGCTGCATTTTCATTCAACTATAAGTTTGTTACTCTTTTTATACAATAGTATATGCTTGGATCTTACTTTCTGTGACAGCAGTTTACTGACCCATAATTTGGACTCACCACAGCCCTTACCTTGGCAGTATACTGAGTTGTATAGAAGACTCAGCTTTTAGATGAGTCCTCTGGGTTCATGTGCATCATATATCCCCTCCTGATAATATTTTTGTTTGAGTATGGTAAGATGATACTGTTTGGTATCATCTCCCTGACTGACCATGCCTGATACATCTATCTGGCATTCAGCACTGGACCCAGCAGGTACTTAGTGAACTCACATGGTTCCAAAACAATTTGATTTCAACAATAAGTTGTTATTCTTATACCAGTATTTGAGAAGTATATTATAATCTTATAATGTATTGTTGTATTTTTTATGTGGGAGTACTGCTATTTATTCAGCCACTGATTAGCTGATGGAATTGGGCATGAACTCCACCTTACCTTTTTTTTCATTTTTTATAAAAATTTTATTTATTGAATCACCGTGAGAGCAGTTACAAAGCTTGCGGGTTTTAGTCTTGGTCATACAATGAAACATCCATACCTTCACCAGTGCCCATTCTCCACCCCCCAAAATGTATTGTTGTATTTTCTCTCAGATCATAGCTTAGAGTCATTCCCAGTACAACTATCTTTTATTTCTTTGCCTACCATCTCTACATGCATAAATCCTCTAGTAATTCATTTACTTATTTGCCCATGAATTTAAATAAATATCCACCTACCTACCTAATTACTACTTCTCCATCCATCCATCCATTCATCCATCCACCCATCCATCCACTCATCCGTTGTTTGCTCATGTAATATTCATTCTACATTTAACCCTACCACAAACATCACTTTCAAAGTTGATACCAAAAAGCTCCTTCAAAATACCTCACCTCCTCCCATTATAGACCCTTGCTCACTCTAACCCTGTGCTGTAATGATATGAAAAATGAGCACCTCTCTCAGAGACCCTTATGCTCCAGGGTGGAGACTTAGTCTGTGAGAAACTCCACATTAACAAAATCATATATATTATATACACTATATGCATATATATGGTAATGTTTACTTTTCTTTCTGTTTCACTTTCTTCTCTTGCTCCTTCCCCCTCCTCTTGTGCTCTCTGTCTGTCTCTGTCTGTCTGTCTGTCTCTGTCTCTGTCTCTGTCTCTCTCTGTCTCTCTCTCTCTCTCTCTCTCTCTCACACACACACACACACACACACACACACTCCTGACAGGCTCAACTTTGCTATCTAGCACAGGACAAGCTGAGACACTGTCTGCCAGGGGAACCAGAGGCATCTACTGAGTCAACAGTCAATGAGCTGAATTTGCAGTCAATGAGCTGAATCAGTCAAGCCCAGCAGATTCCTTCTTTCAAAAGCCAATTTCCTGCCCCACCTCCCCAGTGTCCATGCCAGAACAGATACCTCCCACCACTGCCACAACCAGAGGGAGAAAAGCAGAGAGGCAAAAAAAAATTTTTTTTAAATCCAGACCCAGATGCTGCCCATGTGGATGGCTCCACTAGGCTATGCATAGAATGTTTCATGCACTCAAGGCCTCAGAGGATTCTTGATGGGTTGGCCTCTTTTTGCCCTGGGTTTTTTGTTCATTTGTTTTTCTAGGATGGAGAGTTATTGTCCTCTGGGATCCCATGCTTCATAATCTTGTTAATGACATTGACACCAAAAAATAGGTGACTCACCGAGACATCACTGATGGCAATAGCAGAGATGCCCTCCCGATGTGCAGGCAGGCGGTTCACATAGGCCAGGTGGTCCAGGTCCCACAGGATGCAGGTGCAGTCTTGAGAGCCACTCACCAGGAGGCTGAAGGGGACTGATGCTGCCAGGCATGTGACAGCCTGTGTGTGTCCATACAAGGCCTGGGATGGGAGAGAGTTCCACAGGTAAGGAGAGAGGCCTTAATCTTTATGCTCAGGGAGATAACCTGTTCTCCTGTTTATTCTTTTCTTTTTTTAGCTTTTGGGTCACACCTGGTGATGCACAGGGGTTACTCCTGGCTCATGAACTCAGAAATAACTCCTGGCAGTGCTCAGAGGACCATATGGGATGCTGGGAATCAAACCCAGGTCGGTGCGTGCAAGGCAAATACCCTTCCCACTGTGCTATCACTCCAGCCTCTCTCCTATTTATTTTTGAACCCTGGACTAGGAACAAAATAATTAAGTGATTCCAAAGTCTCTGGTATGTTAATGAGTGTGTGTATGTATGTGTGTGTGTGTGTTAGGGGGTAGTGTGTGTGTGTGCATGCTCGTGAACATCCATGGTTGCCCTCTCATTTCCATCTTTCCAGGGATTGAGATACTACTGCAGAAAATTGAGAATCTTTTTTTTATCATAATCCAAGCAGAGACCAGCTCTGTGCTCCCTGACATTTGTCTTATATCTCAAAGCATCACACACCATTATTTACATGCAGTATAACTTCTTACATTTCTTTAGATATCGTATCAGCACATCTTTAATCTGTAGACCTATTTTATATGTCTCAATCTCTGAGGTCAAATAAAAATTGCTCGGGTGAAAAGGGGTCACAAATGACAACTGTTTAAGAAGTTTTGTCTTGTGGGGTCACTGATCTGAAGAGCTAGGTTTCCTGGCCAGCAGCACAAACATAATCTGAAAACTGCTTAGAAATACAAACTCTGGGGCCCCATTTCAGACCTACTGAATGGGGAACCCTTAAGCTGGGGCTCCCACCATCAAAATTTTCCTAAGTGCTTCAGAGAATTTTCAAGCAGGCTCAAGTGGAAGCATCCATTACCAAAGGGAACTTTTAAAAAACTCTCTGCCAAGCCCATTCCCCTGGAAAATCAGCCCGCAGGAAGGAAGTGAAGATCCGGTCATGCTTTGAAGAAGGTGACTTGGCTGTGGGATCATAACCTGGCAGGTCATGTGACATCAGGTTGATCCAAACCTTGGATTTAACTCTCAGTGTGGCCTCACATGGGTCTGGCCAGCTCAGGGCAGCTGTGTTTCCAGATCAGGAGAGAGAGCCTACTCCCAGGGGACCCGAAGAGGTGGGGAGCCAGCCTGACATGCTGGAGCTTACGGTGCCATGGCTACACCACACAGCCAGCCCGGGCAGCCAGTCAGCCTCATCTGAGAGCATCTGTAATGCCAACGCTCTCAGTGCGCGAGTGTGAGGATGACTCTGAAACAGGCTGACTGGGATCGCTGAGAGGGGAACCTCACCCCCTCTGTCTGCCTGTCTCATTTGGGCTAAGGGGCTGAGCATCATTTTTTTTTCCAGAGTTTTCGCGCTGACTGGTCACAGCAACAAAAAGTCCTCCCTCAATTCCCATTTGTGCTCCACAGATCCTAACATGGCACCTCCTAAAGGTGCTGGCAAAGTTGTGGACTTGACTGATGGAAGATCTGGATTACCTTAGGAAGACGGAATAGAGGAAAGCAGAGAGGGTGTGACAGAGTCTCTTTGGCTCCTCCGAATGAACTGTCAAGTGACTATGCTTCAAGACAGGTCCCTAGACTGCAGGCCAACGGATAAGAAATAGGACCTGGGATGGCAGGAGGAAAGCCCTGGGCACCTGTACACGCTGTCCATGAGGGAGCTGCACCCGCCAATCTCCACAGCCTGCATGGTGTGGAATGAGTGATACACACTCGAAGCTGGTGTCCTCCCTGTGGTCTGGAAACCAAAGCACCACACACCAGTCATGCCCTCACCCCGTCTAGAAGGGCTAGAGAAACCAGTGCAGGAAAACAGCACAGCCTCAGGCTCTTTAGCTTTCTCAGAAAAATATCTCTGTATATGACCCACTTCAAATTATCCACCATCAGGGCCAGAGAGTAGGGCACTCACGTGCTGGTTTAATCAACCCTGGTGTGATTCCCTGTCACCTCATATGATAGCCCAAGCACTTTCAGGAGGAAAGCACAGAGTCAGGAGCAAGCCCCAAGTATTGCCAAGTGTGATTAAAGGACACCCCGTGACCCCAGCTGGAAGGGGAAAAAAATTCTTTTTCTATGACTTCAATAGTATTGTAAACTCTAATACCTCTTTAAACATCGAATTAATTAAGTACTTAAATAGATAAATAAATTAAAAATAAAGTCCTCAGGGTCAGAGGTTGGGAAATAGTCCATGATAGTACATAACTAAAGTAATGAAAGATAGTACAGTGCGTAGTGCACTTGACTGGTATGCAGCTGACGGGTTTAATTCCTGGCACTGCTTATGATCCCCTGAGCACTTCCAGGAATGATTCCTGAGGCAGGAGTAAGCTTGCACACTTCCATAGCCCAAAATAAATAAATAGGCAAATAATTAATAAACAAATAAGTAAATGAAAACCCACTCAGAAGAACTCTCCACGCTGAATGTGTTGTGGTGAGAGGTGGTCCTAATTGAGCTGCTAGCCATGTGGTCAAGCTGAGGAACCATGACAGAAACAGGATTGCTGGACCTTGGTCCTTATTTTTCATCAAATGTGTTTTGAAACATAATGAGTCAGAAGCAAGCAGCAATCTATCCTGGAAATTTTCTGCAGCATTAAAGAATAGTTCACACTTGGAAATAATGTAATTGTCTACTTTCAGAAGAAATGGTTTATTAAACTGTGGTGCCCTGACATAACAAAACAATTGCAATGTAATTTTATGGAAATTGAATAATATGAAACCATTGAAATGTAAATTATAGCAACTGTGGAGAAGCAGAAACAATTTGATAGGCTGGATGGAAATAGAATTAGATATCTACACAATGATCAAAATAGTATAAATATGTATATTTATAAAGGAAATTTTTGTAGGGGCTAGAGAGAATTGCTTGCCTTTGAAGTGAGTTCAAAATTTGCCTTTAATATTCTAATATCTTCAAAAATAACAGACTTGGGGGCTGGAGAGATAGTACAGCAGGTAAAGCACTTGCCTTGCACGCACGCAACCCAGATTCAACTCACAGCACCAGATGGTCCCCTGAGCTCTGCCAGGAATGATCCTTGAGTACAGAGCCAGGACTAAATCCTGAGCACTGCTGACAGTGGCCTAGACCCCTCCCCCTGAAACAACACACTTAAAAAAAATGATTTATGGAGCTTTTCAGTGCGGATTTAATTCGCTTAGTAAATCAGAGCATGTGGGATTCCCCTACCTTTCTCAATTTAGAACCAGGAGGGAAAGAGAAATGACATTTTATGTTTTTGCCAATGCTGGACCTTTTAGAGGACCTCTCCCTACTCCAGGGGGCTCAGACAAAGGTGAGAGGCAGCTTCCCAGCCCCCAAAGCTGGCGCTGCAGTCTGCTGCATTTCCTGTCATCCCCAGAGTGAAACGTGGGAGAGGGGAACCTTCCATGCAGTCTCCCGGAGGCCAGGGGTCCAGGCCAGCTCCCAGCACAGCAGGGATGGGAAGAGCCGTGAGGAGACCACCTGAGCCACAGGAAAACCGGAGGAGTCAGCAAGGTCCCAGACTGAAGAGCCAGGAAGGCAACCTGCAGGGGTCACAGTCACCCCTAGGCCTGCGCCATGGCCTCTCTAGGACCCACCAGGCTCCTCACTGACCCATCCTCCTTCCGGTCTGCTCTGCATTATGTATGCAAGATAGCACACCTGTGCCTTGTGCATCAGGCTCTGGGGCTGTTTCTCAGGGTGACTAGTGCCCTGAAGTGTGCCTGAGTAACCCACCATCAGTTCCAGAGAAGCAGAAACAGTGCAGAGGGGCAGTGCAGAAGGGCTGGGCAGTGGTGATCTTTATCTGGTTAATGTTGGGTTTTGTCAGGTTGGGACTAGGTGGCTAACTAAAAAAGCAATAATAATAAAATGTATTTTACTTGCGTATTTATTTATTTTGATTTTGGGGCCACACCTGGTAAGTAAGTTCAGGACTTACTCTCAGCTCTGGCTCTGTACCTACGAATCACTTTTGGAGGGGCTTCAGGGAGCCATATGACTTCAGGGAATCAACCAGATTAGCTGCATGCAAGCCAAATGTCCTACCCATTGTACTTTTGCTGTGGCCCCTGAAGTACACTTTAGAGTTAGAAGTATCCTTAGGTAATAGTCTTGAGGCTAGGTTAAGGGTACAGAGTGTGTGTGAGAGAGAGAGGTTTAAAGTTAGACAAGGTTTAAAGTTTAAAATTAGCCAAAACTAAACCTCTCTGAGCCTCATTTTCTTCATCTCAGTCTGGGAATAATAGTACCTGCTTGGCAAAATTAATTAAGTGTCCAGAGTTTTAAATAAGCAGCAAGTATACCTTTCTGCCTATTACTCCTCATCTACAGGTTCGGCTCATGGGCCCAGAGTCAGTTCTCTGCCGCCACTTCTGCTTCCTCTCTCCTCCCACTACCACCAACTCTCTTCTGAAATCACCTTTCACTTGTTTGCTTTGCAGACTTGGATAAGTCACTTAACATCCTTATCCTTGTCGTTTTCACTCATATACTCAGGGTAGTACCCACTTGGTTGTAAGGAGCTCACCTGATAAGTAGTGACCCCAGAAATTGCTCCAGCACGTTGTTTAGTGAGATAAAACCAACTACTGGCTCTGGGTGAACTGCCTGGGTCTCCAAGGAGAAAGATCCAGGCCAGGCAAGGAACAACGTGCTCAGATGTCACAGAGCAACAGGACCACTCCTTCAGGGCGTCAAGCCTGTTGGAGGTGCTGTATCCGCCAGAGGCATCCTACCTGCTTGAGACACAAGCTTCTGGGGCGACCTTTGGCCAGGCTGAGCTCCCACACACACACCACAGCGCTGTCCCCCGAGGTGATGATCATTGTGGGCGATGGGCATAGGGCACACAGACAGCGGCCCCAGGCAGCTAGGTTCTCAAATGTCATCAGGATCTGAGGGAGACAAGAGGCACAGTTGTGGCAGCAGGAATGGCTCGAGCTGGGAGTGTGGGCAGGATAGCGGGAAACAGGTGACTGGGAGAGCAGGGGCATGAATCCTGTGCAGGAGCCAACTGGAAAAATTTTGGTCATCTCAGGCTCATCCCTAAGAAGCTCAGACTCTATCAGTTGATGGGGACATGTGTGAGGGCAGTTAGGGGGCAATCGTCAAAACCTGTGAGCACCATGACACCTAGGAGCCCAAGGCCACTGACTGAGGGGTTGGGAGAGCGAGCACGTTCTGGAGGACATGAAGAGGGAGGGAAGAGTGGGGTCAGGTGGACAAGGGGTTCACAGATGTGAAAAAATGGAGTGAGAGGTGGATGCAGGAGTGAGGGCTGGAGGGAACGTGGGGGGCAGCTGAGGTCCCCCTCCAGAAGGCAGGAAGAGCTGCAAGCAGGGGGAAAGACAACGATGTCTGCTCCCGGCGGCTGGCAGACACTCAGAGCCGTCCAGTCTAAGCTGCGACAATGAACAGATGCCGGAGCCCCTGAACATCCATCCAGACTGAGAATCTGGGTGACTGCACAGAGCCAGCCAGAGGCAGAAACAGCTTCGGAGGTGAGGGCACCTGGGAGAAGCATGGCCCAAGAAGGCCTGTGTTGGGGGTTGCCTCCACCCTTCCCTCCCAAGCAGGGGCACAGTTATGCAGAGGATGTGGGCCATGTGAGCGGTCCTATGGGAGAATCTGGGGACCAGCTCGCCCCAACAGGAAGGAGGCAAAGCCCATGTCACCTTGCTGCCGCTCACCTTGTCTGAGCCATAGCTCCCCAGACAGCAGCTGAAGTCTTCAAAGCCCCAGCTGAAGGTCCGGTTCCAGAGAGGAGGCAGCAGCACCTTGTTCCTCTCCACAGCCAGGATGCTCTTCTCGCCAGGGACAATGTGGCCGATGGCTCCTTTGGGAGACTCGGAGCCTAGAGAGAAAAGATACATATCTACCCCCCCAGTCAGTATGGCAGAGCACCAAGGCAGCACCCATGATAGCAACCCAGACAGGAGTCACAGGCAAGAAGACGGATGAGATAGAAGTCAGACAGGAGTGACCCATGAAGGCATCTCACCTCCACGGCTTACTCTAGGACAGGCCTTAGGCCCTTGAGCTCTCCCTGACTCAGCACCCACATTGCACTTGTGGGCAGGTGACCCCGAGGATCTCGCTGTTGCTTAGAGTTGGGGCCAGATCAGGCTTGCTTATTCTGGCTTACTCTTGCTAGAGCTCAGGAACCATCTTCCATGCCAGGCATCAAATTGCCAAGTGCTGCCCCCTGTGTTATCTCTCTGGCTCGTGTCTGAGTATCCTGATGTCAGGAGAGGAGAAACCAAGGATGTCGGGCAGAGGGTACAAAATCTCAGGGGCTCTGGGGAGCTCCACCCGCTTGCCCCTCCAGGCACCTAGCAAGCTCTGTGTGGGCTGCACTTTACTCTTGGGTTCACAGGAAAGGAAGGACACATCTTAAACTCCCAACAAACCCAACTTTCTACTCCTTGGGCCCCTCTCTTGTTCCAAACAGCATAATGTCCTCAAAGCAGTGCATGCTCTGGAAGGCACAGATCTAACTTCATAAACACACACAGAGCACCCCCAGGATGTTGCAGGACTGGGGACACCCAAACTACTGTCCCAGGGCACATGCACTCAACTAGATGCTGCAGGAATGCCTAGGTCCTCACTGAGTACCAAGCTCTCTTTAGCAAGCTTGCAACCCCTGGCTGTGGAGGTGAGGAGAGTATGTGGTTGCGTGTGTGTATTCACACACATATGTGAGCCCTTGCATTCATGCAGGTACATGCATGCAAGAGAAAGTAAAAGAGAGGTGTGTGAGAGAGGGGTATGTGAGTAGGTATGTGTAAGAGGCTTGTGTGTCTCACCAGATCAACAAGTCATCAGAAGGATCTAGCAGGTGTTGTCTGGGATACTTCCAGAGCAGAGAACCCCCAGATTCTGGCTATGGCAGAGACACCCCCCCCACACAATTAGACCCCAAGACCCTGCAGATCTGTGCCCGTGACACTTGAGAACAATGCCCAGAACAGAAGGAATAGCCCTGGACAGGACACCCAACAAGACAGGAGCCGATAGTTACCTTTGACAGTGACTTGCGATGGCCTCAGGGTCTGCAGGCTGTAGAAGAAGGGCTGCGGGTGTCCAGGCAGGCCGGCGGGCGTGGAGATGTCCTTTCCTGGGGCCGACTTCCCCACCACAGTCCTGGCCGGGTGAGGTTTAGTGAAGAGCTGGAGAGGCAAAGGGAGACACAGGTCACACAGGCCACAAGGGACACAATTCACAATGGACCCTTCTGCTCAGGAAGCTCCCAATGGAGCTGAGCACCCACAGAACCAGCAGGCTCGAGCCTGGGTGCTTTAGACATGAGCCCTGGGGGTGTAACTGGGGGACAGCTACTTCCTCCTGCTCTCACCACAGTTGGACGAGATGACCCACTGGTCCCCAGAAAGGCAGCGTCTCCTATTGGGGGCAGCACAACCCTGTTCCTCCTGTGACCACATTTCTCTCTTCATCCATTAATGCTAATTCCCACCATTTCTCCCCCTTTCTTCTCTTACAAATTCTCTGCGGGCACATCCATCTGGGCATGGAGACCCAATTCTTTCACAATATTCATGTTGAGGTTCCAAAGGGCACAGTAGGACTCCATTTTTTTTAAATGAAGGAGTGCTGCTATTTATTCAACCATTGATTAAGCTAATTGGATTGAGCATGCACTCCACATTGCTTTAAAAAATGTTTTAATTGAATATCCATGAGACAGACCATTACAAATGTATTCATAATTGGGTTTCAGTCATACATGGTCCAGCACCCATTCCTTTACCAGTGTACATTTCCCACAACCAATGTCCTGTTTCCCTATCACCATCCACCAACACCACATACCCACCCCCAGCCTCTTTCTGTGGAAGGCACGTTCCTTCTTGCTCTCTCTCCTTTTCCTTTTGTGCATTATGGTTTGCAATATGGGTGCTAAGAGGTCATGGTGTTTGTTCAGGGCATTTGGTATTTTTATAAGAACAGTAAGGCTAGAGTAGCTTTTCAATTGGGTGGCAGCTTTGGGAAGTGAATGTGGTTCCTGAGGATTCCTGAAGGTGATGGGAGGTAGCCCAGCCCGACCTCGAGAAAGCCACAAAACCCGCGTACCAGAATTTTCAGCAGATTATGTCTCGGTGAGATCCATCCTGAGACGGTGGAGTTAGGCCCAGGGCATGGCGGCAATTTTGGATTGTGGGAGTAAATGACTGCTGCCGGGGGCTCTGCTTGGGTGGGCACCAGGATACCACCCCCCTTATTTACCCCAGTCTGTTCAGTCTTGTGCAGGTCTGAGATTAACTGTGGCTTTTGATTTCTTTTGAGATTTATTTATGGGTCTCTGAAGCAAGGCTGGTAATAGAGCTTACATAGTGGCACTGGAGTTGGTTCGTGGGGGGAAGGGGAGGGTGATTGCAGTACTTTCAGGAGTATTGGGAAGCGGGGGGAAGAAATCAAATGCGGCAGTTAATCTCGGAACTGCACATGGCTGAACAGACCAGGGAAAGAGGAGGGGGCAGGTCATCCTGGTGCCTGCCCAAGCAAGCCCCCAGCAGCCACTTGCTCTTTCTCACAAACCAAAATCGCTGCCATATCCCTAGCCTGACTCTACCGTCTCAGGACAGACCTCACCAAGAAATATTTTCACCAATCTGCTGAAAATTTGGGTATGTGAGTTTTGTTGCTGACATCTCCAGACTTTCTCAGAGTTGGGAAGGACTCCACTTTTATCTCCTATCTTAATTTTCTTTTTCATGGATCTCTGGTCCGTTTGTCCCTCATAGGAAATTTCTTGTCATAACTAGCTAGGCAAGTTTGGACTGCCTGGCAGAGTCCTGGCTACAGGAGCTGTGAGTGCCCCAGGGCTGGCTCCAGTCCCTTGCTATCATGCTCTAGCCATTAGGCAGCACCTGGGCTCTGGAGAGAAGCATCCACTGGGTGTCACCATGGAGGAGGCGGGGTGGCAGATGGGACAGGGCAGAGTGGGTTGGGCTCTGTAGGCTGCCTGGGGGATTCTAGAGGGGCAGCCTTAGAGCATCCCTGGCTCAGTGACAGCCCTTAATCAGATGCTGGACACTTGTAAAGCTGTAGGGGTGATTGATACAAACAGAAATGAGAGTGGTGAGCCGTCAGTGTCACATAAGGCATACTCTTTACCCAGTCATAGCTCTGAACGGCACAGCCCTTCTGTCCTCCATGGAATAGTGTGTTTGCAAGCATTTGCCTTGTCTTTGGGCTGGTACCATATCCAGAGTTCTCAGTCTGATGATGATTCAGAAATTTTAAAAACTGCATTCGCATGCCATTGGTTTCATGCCTGTGCATTATACGTGGATGTCATGAACACCATCAAAGTCTCATTTCCACCCAGTGACCTCCTTTAGCCAACTAGTCTCATCTCTCTCCTTGCCCTGCTGATGGTCAACATTTTGTTTTTATCAACTACATTTGTGTTTTGTCTTGTTATTTAGAAATATATATTTTGAAAAGCCCCTAAGATCTATAAATAAAAGCAGAATTAAGCTTGTGTGTGTGCCCACTGACTCGGTGGGTATGAGAGCAATGCTGGTGATGTAAATCCAGGACACAGCTGGGCGGGGTTATCTACAAGTGAATTATGTAACTACTTCCTCTTTATCCTTCTTTTAAAAAATTAAATAAAATAATTAGACCACCTAAAGTTCTTTTCTAAAATTCAAAATTCCTTACTGTTAAGCCATTCCTGGGGAAACTCACCTTTGTAAGTGCCTCCCCCTTTTTCTAAGGCACCCTCAGCACCTTCTCAATTCACCCTCTCTGAGAGCTGAAGAATCCTAAGTTCATGGCATAACGCTCTTAGTGTCATGTTAACTGTGACATGACTCTCTCAGGCCTCCTGGTCACATGTGCTTCCTAGGATGGTTGTGGATTAGCTGGGTTTGTACATTTAATTACCAAAGTGAGGGCTGGGCCACAGACTAGGGCCCCAGACTGTGGGATTGTGCTTAGAGATAAATTATCTGGACACCAAATTCAAGTTGGAAACTCAAGAGACCTGGGGCCAATGAAGTATTTTTTTAAATTTAATTAAAGAACTATGATTTACAAAATTCAGTTTTAGGTATACAGTATTTCCCACCAGTCCTACTACCAGTGTCCACTTCCTTCCACCAGTGTTTCCATGTTCCCTCCTGCTGTCCCTCCCCCCATCCCCACTTATCATCTTCATGGGCACATTTCAAAGTTTGGTGGTTGCAATTTACTTATGTTTCCAGTGTTGTTGAGTCTGTGCTTGGATATGTACCACTCTCCCACATCCCCAGTATGACCGAAGCCCCGCCCTTTCATCACAATGCAAGCCTGAATGCACAGCACGGTGACATTCCTGGTGCAAGACCCCTGCAATTCCACCAGGGGTCTGGCAAGACAGCAATTCAACCTCTCCAGATCTCAGCTCCCTGATTTGCAAAGAAAGAAATTCTGTACCCAGAGCTTAAGAGAGGATTTGCTGAGGGAATAGCATGAATTCTTAACCTCATAGAGTACTACAGTTATTCCAGGCATTTTTAAGCACTTGGAATCTCAACATTTTGGTATCTTCAAAATTTCCCAGAAGGATAAATATGTAGAGAATAGTGGTATCCTCTGGATTTATTACCGTGTATATTACACACATTACAGGTGAGTGTAGTCTTCACCATTGTCATCTGGGAGGGCTCATCATACAGCAAGCAGCCTCAGGAGGTGATGGGGATGAGCATTGCTCTAGGTGGACGAGGGACCTGGTTGGAGAACATGTTCCCTCTCCAGTCCTCTTTTAATCTTGGATAGGCAAAACTATCTCTCCTCTCTCCCGCTTTCCTCCTGTTCTTCTCTCCCCCTCTTTCATTCTTTCTCTCTGCCTCTCCTCTTTCTCCCTCTCTTTTTCTTTCTTTCCCTTTATCTTTTTTTTACTCTCTCTCTCCATTCCCCTCTTCTCTGTCTCTCTAGTATGATCACACACTTTGAGGAGAAAGTAAGACAAAAGACACAACATGCTGTACCTGTTTGGGCACCTGCCCAAAATTGCTGATGAATCCCAGAATGGTGCTCCTGATCAGGGGGTCACTGATGTTGTTGAAGTCTATTTTGTCTCCATAGAAGTAGGGGTGGAAGGTGTTAACAGCCTCCACCGAGGCTGCGCCCTGCTGCTTGTACCCAAAAATGAGGTCGATCCAGTGATGGAGGTTGGCACTGACAAAGTCACTTTCCAGAGCCTGAAACCAAACCCAAAGAGCACAAGAAGTGTTGGTCCTCCCAGACTCATGCACATTCTGCTGGGCATCAGCGTGCTAGCTCTGTATAGGGATGATGAAGCCTCCCAGCGCTTGACAAGCCGAGTGAGCCCAAGGACCACCCGAATCCTGGCTTTGCATGGCTGCAAGGGACAAAGAGACCATCTTGTCCCTTCTGCTCTAGATGCATAAATAATTTTGACGTTCAGAATAACTATGTCAGACAGGCCTGGAAGAAGTATCTGAGTGGAAGAGACTAAAGCTAACTCTACCTGTACTTTGGATTCAAAGTCCCTCAAATTTCTCAGGAATTTATTGTTCCTTCTTTGCATATTCAATGTCTTTCATATGAGCTTTTTAATGTTTTGAAAATAAAAGCTTAATATTTAAGTACCCTTTCCTCCAGGTATATTTTTATATCTTCTTTTTCATTTTCCCAACAACCAGAGTATACCCATTCTCATCATTGCTATATTCTTTTTTCTTTTAATTGAATCATTGTGAGGTACACAGTTACAAAGCTGTTCATGGTCTAGTTTCAGTTATATAATATTCCAACACCCATCCCTCCACCAGTGCACATTTCCCACCATTAATGTCCGCAGTTTCCCTCCTCTAGTCCTCCCTGTCTCTATGGCAGTCACTTTCCTTCTCTCTCTCTCTCTCTCTCTCTCTCTCTCTCTCTCTCTCTCTCTCTCTCTCTCTCTCTCTCTCCATTACGGTTTGCAACACAAATACTTAGAGGTTATCATGTTTGTTCCTGTTTTCAACTATCTCTGTCATAGTGGTCCCTTCTCTATCCCAATTGCCTTCTCCCCCAGCACTTGAGGCAGGCTTCCTCCAATCATGAACCAATCCTTGTGGCCCTTGTTTCTACTGTATTAGTAGGTCTCATATTATGTTTTTTTAATATCCCACAAATGTTTTTTCATAATTCATTTCCTTTATTTATTTGTATTTAACTTACTGGCTAATGTTGTTTTGTTTCAGAATAAAGAACTTTTAGTATTTACTGTAGAGTAGATATGCAATTGATAAATTTCATAACTTTTAATTATCCAGTAATGCCTTAATTTCTACTTATTTTTTGAAGAACATTTTTTCTGGTTATAGAATTCTTGGTTGACAGTAGTCTTGAAGAACCTTGAACTGACATACCACAGCTTCTGGCCCTCATGGTTTCCAATGAAATAGGTAAAGGCCCTCCCATTGATCGTCGATTTGCTCCAGCGGGCCCAGTAACGTCTCCATTGGAGACTTTGTTGTTACTGTGTCTGGCATATCGAATACTCTTGGTCGCTTGCCGGGCTCTCCGAGAGGGGCGGAGGAATCGAACTCGGGTCGGCCATGTTGGCTGCGTGTAAGGCAGATGCCCTACCTTCTGTGCTATCGCTCCAGCCCGGGAGCGATATTATTCCAATGAAATAATAACTATTAATCTTATTAAAGGTATTTTTTTGGTGGCAGGGAACAAACCCAGGAAGATTTCACAAATATAAAGCAGGCACTCTACCACTGAGCCACTGAGAAGTCCTTGTGGTAAATTGTTTTTCTATTTTCACCATCAAAGTTTTTCCATTGATGTTTATATTTTGTCTGGTCATGATAGCCCTTCCTTCATTCTTGTACAAGGGATATTACCTGCGCCTCACACATACAAGGCATGTGCTTGACATATGAGTTCACATCCTAGTCCTTTTTCTTATTTAGGGATTATTCATGTGCAATAAAGGATCTACTTTTATATGTAAAGCATGTTCTCACAAGTTCATTTAGTTTATAAACATATAACCACTTCCACAATCATGATAAAGAACATTCTCTTAACTCAAAGGTTATCTTATACTCCTTTTTGCTCATCCCTACTCCAGATCTTATAAATTGCTGATCATATTTTGTCCCTATAATTTTACCTTCTCCAGAATATTACATAAATATAACCTCATAGTACACAACTCTGGGGCTTGGCTTAGACAAATACCATTGAAATTTGTCTGCATTGCATTTTGTATCTATAATATGTCCCCTTTTTATTCCCAAGTAATAGTACACTTGATAGATTTATCATTAGCTTACCATTTTACCAGTTGGTGGTTTGGGTTATATTCAATTTTCAACTAGAATAAATAAAACCAGTAAATATTTACATATTCACTCTTCTGTAATTATGCTTTCATTACTTTTGGGGAAAGACCTGCAAATGGAATTTCCAGATGATGTGACAAATGCATCTTCCACTTTATAAGAAACTGCTAGACTTCTCCCCAAAGTGGCTGTCTTGCTGTCCTACTTTTTTTTACACCAACAATGTAAAGCAAATTCTGGTTCCTCCACATCTCTGCTTATTCCTGGTTTTTATCAGCATTTAAAATTTTTGCTGCACACTCTTGTGAGTATTTGGTAGCATCTCATTGTGGTTTTAATATGTTTCCCTGATGATTAATGATGTTGAACATACTTTCATGTGTTTTACACTAAATCAGGTTTTTGATCCAGGCTATATATTCCAAAATGTCATCAGGCCTCTTGCCACATCAGCTTTTCTGGTTAGAAGCCAAGTCCTCCCCTATCCTGGAAAATTTGTCAAGCATTGGAAGCTCCTAAGGGTCTCTACTCTCTAACTAAGCTATACCAGAAACTCTCACCCAGGACACAGCCCTGTTTGTAGGGTTTGCTGAGGACATTGACCACTGACTCACCCTCCATGCAGTAAGAACCTGAAGTTGCTGCCTGCTTGCCCCACAAAAACACTGGCAGAAGAGCTAAGTCTAATGGAGCATGTCAAAGAGCCCAGAACCCAAGTCTTTTCCTGTCAGCTTTGGCTCTCCAGACATTCTGAAGTTCTTATCACTACTTCTCAAAATTAAGTTTGCATTGTTGAGCCACTGAGTTCCTCACCCAGAATACGAGAGGCTCTGCCGTGGCCCCAGTAGACTCACCTGTCTGTGTAGGCTGATAAATTTCCCAGGGTCCCCATCAGCCCAGGGAGGGAGCTGCACATCCCCCAGTGCTGTTCCATCCTGCATGCAGCCTGAATGGGGAGAGAAATAATAGACCGATAGGTAAATGGGAATCCAGACTGGGCTATGGACCAAGAGGGTGCAAACACAGTGTAGTTCAGGCTTGTTGATTTCTACACAGAACATGTGAGCCACGTCTCATGGGGACCACACTGCTTCCTGCCTCTTCACTCCCACAAGCTCATCTTCCCTGCAATGTTGATGATTTTACTTGAATCTGAGTCTTCAATTCCTCCTCAAGATTCTCCTTGCTTCCCTGGCAGTGTCTGATTGGGATTATATTATCATTGGGTTTTTTTTTTTTTGTATTGCTTCCTTCCTGCTACTCTGTTTTTTTTTTTTCCAGCAGGGTGCTTTTTATGCAGTGCTGAAACAATAAGGAGAGAATAACAATGACAATCAAAGAGATGGTACTTTGCCCACTTGACACTATGCCAGGACATGATGCTAGGTGCTTGGCAAACATATCTTATTTCATTGCATCCTCATCTAGTTTTATCACTGGTGCATTTTCTCTCAATTTTTAAAGTGAGGATGGCAAGGTTTTCAAAGGGAGCTTCCCCAGACATTAAGAGCAGCCTGGATTCAAGCCCGGGCTCTCTCTTACCCATTAGCTACACAACCTTGAGCAGTTTAATCTCCTTGGGACTCACTTTTCAAACCTGTGACCTTACAGGGCTGGTATTAGGATTAAAAGAGAAAATGCACATTGAGATGCTGAGGGAGACCTCAGGGATATGAAGAATGCTCAGAAAATATTACTCACTCTAGCCTTACTGAAACCTTCCAGAACTTTTGCTGTAGAACTAGAATCAGCTTTCTCCTGGTTTCCGGCTCACAGGGCTGTGCCCTGGCCTTTCTTATCATGATGTCTCAGCTCATTCATCTGCCACCTTTTCAATGAAGTTCCTGGGATGAGAAGAGTATATGCCTTCTCATGAATGCTTTTCTGACCTGCTTCCTTCCGAGGACTTTTCATATGCTGATCGTGTCTCTACACCCATTTATTGTCTAGGTTTTCCTTTCCTTCTCATTGCACACAGAATGCAAACCTCCCAGGAGTCCCACCTAAATCCCCAGTGCCTGAAACAGTGCTGCAAGCCTTATGTGCTCCAAAGTCCCATGATTTCTTGACTTCCACAAGGACACGTGTCTCTGTCGAGGTCTCTTCTCTTCTGCAGCACCTTTGCTCCCTCTCATGCCTCCAGCCCCAGCCTGTTTGGCCAACCCTCTTCCTGTCCCACATGATTGATTTAACATGTCCTGTGGTAACCACTATTCCTATTTGTTGGGGAAGGGAGAGTGAGTCTCATCCATGATGTACAAGCATCTTACAACATAAACATGGCGGTGGGCATCCTATGACTTCAGAGTCAGACCATGGGGCTGGGGCTGGGTCCATTTTTAAATGCTCCACAGGTACAGTGGCCACTCACCACTGCAATGCAGGTGCATGCTGACATAGAGGCTAGATATTTACTTGTGTCCCCTGGTTTGGTACCTGGGCTGGCTTAAGGTACCTGCCCAGACAAGGGACAGGGAGGGCTCTAAGGAACGTGAGCCCTGGGTTGCCAGTTGTTCCTGAGGGCCCACCCCTCCACTCTGGACTGCTCACTCCCTGTCCCTGGATTTGACCCCTCAACCCCACTCCAAGTTACTCTGGCATTCACTGCAGAGTTTCTGAGTTCAACACACAGTCACTAGACACTTGCCTGCCAAGACCTAAATTTTTTGTTCATTCTCTAAGGCAGGTGGCAGGAAGGGGTGGCTTTCCCTGGGTAGGGACTTGAAGACAGGCACTAGCGTGTTTGTGCTGCAGTGGCCCCTGGCACAAAGTAACAACCATTTTGGGGACATGGATCACAGAGTCCAGCCTATTCCTTTTTTTTTTCTTTTGGGTCACACCCGGCAATTCATAGGGGTTACTTCTGGCTCTGCACTCAGGAATTACCCCTGGCGGTGCTCAGAGAACCATAGGGGATGCTGGGAATTGAACGCACGTCGGCCACGTGCAAAGCAAATGCCCTACCTGCTGTGCTATCGCTCCAGCCCCATCCAGCCTATTCCTCTGTGGGACATTGGGGGATTCTGAGTACAGCCAGACAGGGGCTTTCTGGAATCACACAGCAGATGGCACCAGACCTGAAATTAGCAGTCGCTCCTGCTCTCTGGTCACTGCCTTGCTGCTGAGTGAGACCTGGGACCCTCAGAAAAAAGGTCATAGATGAGCTGTGGATCAGAGTGGTCCTGGCAGCCTGTGGGGGCCCAGCACCCTTCCTCATCTCTTTATCAGGTGCTGCCACCCAGCGGAGACTGCACACAATTGGTGGGCGATGGATGAGGTGTCTGTTTAGCTGTCATCAGAGATGGTGATCAAGTTGGTCTTGACCTGTAGCTATGGACAGGAAGTCTGTACCGCACAGCTCACCCCGGCTTTGCTCCCTCCTCCACTCACCAAACTCCACCCCGTTGAAGTTTGTTAGGAACTCAGGCAGGTAGAAGAACTCTGGCGTCAGCTCCCGGACATCACTCATGTTCTCCCTGGAGGCCGACTCCCATGCGTTCTTCATGCTGTGGAACATTCTATCTGCCACATCAAAGTTTCCACCCTATGAGGATGAAGGAGTGATCAGGATCAGCTACGTGCAATGAGAACTCTGAGTATACAGGCATCGTGTGTGTGTGTGTGGGGGGGGGGGGGGGGGGCGGGGATCTCCATCCGTCCATGGTACAGCTGAGGCACAGGCTCTACCACCAGAACTTTCCATTCACATCCTCACATAGATTCATTTATGAGTCATGCTTTTGGGTGATCTGTCCTCATGCATCTACTCACTCCACCAGTCTCTGGAACCTTGCACCAGAAACTTCCCCCAGGGATATAAAAACCACTATAATAAAGGACTCAGTGTTTCCATGCTTTAGAAATTTGAGTTTAAATCAGGGACAATAAAGAATGTCTTGACCATTTTCTGCATTTTCTCAGGATGAGCTCTGAATCAGGCACATTGCAGAATACCAAGAACCAGCTATATGACAAAGAATGGGACGAGAAAGTCTTCTGGAGGGTCAGGGAAAGAAAGTCCCTGGTGACTCTGGAGGCTGGACATAAAAAAAATGATAGTGTGTTATGAGCAGAAGGCATAGTCTTGGTCAGAAAAAGAGGTAGAAGAGAGGAGAATAAGGTAACAGCCCCAGTCACATCTAATATCACAGCCTGGATGAAAGACAATATGTCTGAGGATGAAAAGTTGGGGCTGCACCAGCCTTCAAAGGACAGGAAGGTGGTACATGGAAAGAGATGTGGGTAGTCTCCAGCAAGCCTAGTCTTAGTTCTAGGCCCATGTCTACAAGTGACTTGATAAAATATCAAGCATGGCAGTTGGTATTGCACCAAGTAAGACTTAAGAAAAATTCTTTCTTTGTTTTCTATCCTGGGTTTCCCTTCTTCTCACATTCATCAGGTGTTCTTGGGGGGTCAGAGAAGGCAGAGAGATTATAATAGGGTAAATGCAGATCCAGGATTTACATCTACTTAAATTCAAGTATACCTGGGGACATCCTTCTTCCTGGGATTCTACAGTTCATTTGTTCCCAGCAAGATGAAGCTATATCCAATGTCTTCCCCTGCCAACTTCTGCAGAGGCCATGTGGAGGCTGGGACTGAAGGCAACACACTCAAAATCAGTTTCCTTTTGTACTCGCTTCACCATTCAGGCACTGAGGTTTCCCACTAGCATTTACCTAAGAAACTTGGGGAGCAGTTGCAATAGAAAGGAAGGAAGAAGGCTTTCTCTTGGCAAGGTGCTTCTGTGTTAGGTAGTTAATTCACAGACATAGGCTCTCTTAATCTTCACTGAGGTGCATTAGGAAGGAGTGAAGGATCTGGGACCTGTATTTTGCAGACCAGAAAACTGATGCTCTTAAATGCTTACTGGTTTTCACAACACAATAAACGGTGGAGCTGAGGCTAGACCCATGGGAGCAACTCCAGTGGGCATGCTTTGGCCTTATGCCAGTGAGCTGGGGGAATCCCTGGGCCTGGGATTGAGATATAAACCAAGAAAGACGTAGGCCAAGCTTCCTGAGGAGGAAAGGCTTCTTACATATCTATATGACAAGGCAGACTTGGGCATCTTGTGGGGGTGGATCAATTTTCTGAATAAAACTTTGAGTATCTAGTGAAATCCAAGAGGACATAGGGATAGGGACTCCAAGAGATCCAGTTAGTGTTGGATTTATTCTCAAACATGTGAGATCAAACAAGATGTGACTTTCCTCCAAGGTGATCTTGACCTTGGTTGAAATTAGAGGATTGAAGCCCACCATCAGATTCAAATAGAAAAAAAAAAACAGAGGCGAGAGTGTTTCTAAATAAATCTGCACCTAACAAGTCACTCATTGAAATGTATTAAGAGCTTTTGCGTATTTAATCTGCAGCTGGAGCCTTGCCTCTGCAGGAGATTGATGTCTCCTCCTCACCCCATTTTCCTTTTGCAGTTTTTATGAGTGCTGATGGTAATCTCCTGAGAAACAATATGATTTGGTAATAAAAAGATTACCTGTATTAAATAAAAATAATATATACATAGGAAATATTGTTAGTGCGACAAATCTGGTTAAAGATATTACCACAAAGAAAAATGTTATTTTTTTCACAGCTGTCTAATGCATTTTAGCAAAAGTAATATCTTTAAAACTTAAGCCTGTATTATTTATAAAGGAAGCAATAACTGATTTTCCTATTTTCTATATTAATAAATGTATTTGCATACATTTGTTTCAAAATTAATGGGTTTTCTCACTTCTGCAATACAAAAGAAAAGCCAAATCCCCCAGAAGAAAAAGTGGAGCGGCTGTTCCATGCATTCTAAGTCTGAGGGTTGACAGAAACTCTGATAGCTGCCAGCAGTTTGGACTTGATTCCCAGGAAAGGAAGAAAAGAGAGAAGGGAGAGAAGATGGAAGAAAGAGACATGACAGAGGCCAAGGGGACAAACTGAAGGTTTTCCAGAGCACCTCACAGCAACGTCTAAGACAAAACAATCAGGAAATTACTTCTAGAATGAAGGGGAAGTCAAAGTGGTCAAAGAGGTTTACTGAATCAGCTTCTTCTCCTAATTCTATTCTACAGAGAATCTTGAATATCAAGACTAATGAATTCTCTGTGTACCCAGACAGACCAGAAAAATAGAACAGTGAGGTTATGAACTAAGGAACAACCTCTTACTGAGAGCATTCCTCCCAGGTGACCCTAAAGTCAGAAATAAAAGGAGTTGCTAAGAATTATTGTTAGGAAGCAATTATCATAGAGGTTTGAGGTATTCTGAGATAAGAGGTTCTATTCCCTGCATTTTCTATCCAGACAAAATACATATCTTGAATGACTAAAAGCTCGAAAACAATAAAGCCCTAAGTAAGTGAAAATACTTTTGTTCCGTTTTGCAAAGAGAGGAATCAAAATTAAAAACTAAATAATGGGGAAGTGACTGACATGCATTTCTGCTGATGTTGACAAGAGTTAAAAATAGAGAGGAGTCCTTGGTTAAGAAACTTCAAAAACTAGGGACACGGGGTCAGGAGATAGTATAGCAGTGGAAGTATACGCTTAACGTGAACCCAACCTGGGTTTGATCACTGATACTACATATTCTCCTAAGTAAGCATCATTAGGTATATCCCAGAAGTCTTCTAGGCACCATTGGTTATAATGTGGAGGGTTCCAGTCCCACTGATGTGACCCTAGGTGATCCCCAGTACCACAGGAGCCCAAACAACATGGCATTCTTGAGCTCTCATGTTGAATATCAGTCCCAATTGTCTGAGAATAACCAGTGGAAACTCAAAGGCTCTTGCTGACCCATGAGAGTCCCCCAAATAAACTACAATCAAATTCATCAAATTCTGGAAAATGTGATGAATTAAAGGAACTTCTCATTTGATATGTGGACTCAGTCTGGGTCCTCAGATAGACATTTCCATTGTGTATTCTTAAACCAATATGGTACAGAAAGTCAGCAGGGGTAAAAAAAAAAAAAGCTTTCGTATTTGATCTTTACCCACAGTAAGTTCAATGACTTCATTTACTCAAATGTACTTAGACACACACATATTTAATAGTGTGTGCTAAAAAGTCTATTCTTCCATTTACAAGGGATGGACCCAAATCAACCCACTACCACAACCATTGAATGGGACTAGTTTTAGGGGCAGAATTACAGCCCGTTCTCAATGCATATATTCTTCTTCATAATGTAAAAGCATCCAATGCAAGCAGTTTGCTTCTATGATTCTGTGGATACCTTGATTGTTTTAAGCTGCTGACCTTTCCCACCATCAAATAAAGAGTGGGGAGAGGACAGAAAACACAGAGCTTGGGAGACAAGCTGCCTAGAATGGGATTTGTTCGCTTATTCACTTATAGTCTCAACTGAACTGGCACAAGCTCCATAGTCTCTGTAGCCTCCCTCTCATGCCCCTACACCTTGGATAATGGCTGTAGATGGGAAAACGTGTGTGTGTATATGAGGTTGTGAGTGTGCAGGCACCTGTTAGTGGAAGTGTGTGTGACTGCATGTGCCATGTACCTCCTCTTATGTTGGGGACACAGGGAGAGTGCCTAGGAGCCTAGAAGTGGGGGGCAATTCTAGGCTTGGACTCAATCTCTATCGGCATGGGGAAGATAATCAAGGACATATCACTGTAACACTGTCGTCCCGTTGTTCATCCATTTGCTTAAGTGGGCACCAGTAACATCTCCATTGTGAGGCTTGTTGTTACTGTTTTTGGCATATCGAATATGCCACGGGGAGTTTGCCAGGCTCCTCCATGTGGGTGGAATACTGTCAGTAGCTTGCCGGGCTCTCTAAGAGGGATGAAGAAATCAAACCTGGGTCACCTGCGTGCAAGGCAAATGCCCTACCCGCTGTGCTATCACCCCAGCCCAAATCAGGGGCATAAAAAAAGAAAAATGGTTTTAGAAGCAATTTGAAGTAAAAGGTGTAGGGAAGGCAATGGAAATCGCAGGTTGGAGCCTGGGACAGGGACCAGTCAGTCGCAATAGGAGGTGGCGTAGTGAAGGCATGCTGATTGTTTTGAGGCTGTGAGAACAAAGGGGAAAGGGGCAAGTGCCGGAGCTTAAATATTCAACTCGGTCAGCTGAAGACTGTCTGTGGGGCATTGATGTGAGAAGCCCAGAGCCAGTGGGCTGCTTGTCTGTCTCACTCTTGAGTGAGAACAGGCTGACCCTGGAACAGCCATTAGAATGTGGCCAGTAACTCAACAAATAAAACCCACAAGAGCACCTTGAAAAAAATGTGCTGCCTGCTTTTATGGGAAGCAAAGTGGCTATAAATGGGGCACTGAAGAACAGCCAAACAGCACTGGGGCTGTGTCTCACTCCCCCATGCCACCCACTGAGTTGGGCATGACTTTCAAGGAGGAGGAGCTGAGGGCCAGTTATTCAATGTTACCAATCACAAAGTTCTGGAAACCCAGTGTCCCAGTGTTGCCTGCCTCTGTTGTATGCGCTCTTCCTAACATTTCTCATTGACTCTGGATAATAATAATTTACACCTTGATTTTCAACACAACATTGAAAGCTGCAAAGG